CTCCCAGCTCTGTGTTTTGGCTTGTCTGGCCCATCTAGCTAGTTTTTAGCTACTGCAGCGATGACCAAGAACACAGCAACCTAGATAGAAAGGAGAGACAGTATTGGTGTGCATTTCTCACAGGGACAGACCATATATATCTGTGGGCTCCCTCAAAGCATAGGTGATAGGGGACGGAAAAGTTCTGCGTGGCTATACATAGAGTGAAATACACAGGAGCACTTTCCTGCATACTGCTGGTGCATGCACACCAGCTCAGCTAAACACTGTCCATATGTGCAAAGACAGATCAGCATTTTTCAGCCAGCACCTTCCACGTCTGTGGACTCTAGCGTGCAAGGGAGCGCCGCAGACCCAGGTGACGGGGCATCCATCTGCAGCATGTGAGCACACACCAGACCTACCCCACGTGTAAACAGGAGAGCTAGCGTCCTTGCAGCTCAGAGGGCAGGACTGCAAAGGAGGGACTATTTTTGCCATTCGCTGAGTGCTTGATGTGTGTGCTCACACTGTCGTGAAAATGAGGTCAAGGAAGGTCATTCAGTTCAACAGTATAAATCAAGGAGGAAAGTAGAGTGGAAGCCTGTGAATACTCGGGAGATCTCACCAGTGGGGGGTGGTCGGGGGAGCGGAGGAAGGGCTAATGAGACCGAGAATGCCACACGCGGGTGAAGCAGAAAATAACGGTGAATGAAAGCAGCCAAACGGTGGCAGCCAAAACAGAAGGCAGGAAAGCCCAGCCTCAGGTCCTTTATCCTGCACTATAACCAATGCTTCGTGTTAACTCACAGGATTATTCTGCCAGAGCAGGCAGAAAGGCTCCACACCCTCCAGTCCCAACCCGCTGACAGGAAACCTTTCACTGGAAACTTGCTTGCATTCAGTGCAAAATGTCTCACTTCTGTTAGCAATTTGTTCCCCATCACAAGCATTCCTGGGAGAAGTTTGGCGGGGGTAGGAAACGGGCTAGGAGGGCTGTGTGCGGGACGCTTCCACCTGGCGACCTGGTTAATAACACAATGGAGCAGACAGCCGGCCTTTCACCACCTCTCGCTTTCCTCCATGTCCCTCATTCCGCCTTTCACCACCTCCCCCTCCATTGCTCTCCTTTCTCCTCCCTTTTGCCAGCCTCCTCTTTCCCCTTCTCCACTTCCCCTCTTCTTTCATCCCTTTATTTTTCTGCTGCTATGTGCTCTTAGCACATTTGGACCTCATGCTCTCTGTCCTGTCTGCAGGCCTCCCAAACTCATCACACCTGTGCCCCACTGCACTCTTGGGTATGGCAGAACTCAGCACTTTCTCCTTGGGCTGGGTCTGAGCCTCCAAAATGCTTTTTGTCATCAGTCTTCCCCCAGCACTCTCTGGACAGAAGTCTCCCTCTTCCCTTCCCCCTTCTCTTTCTCTCCCTCACATAATATTTTCCATATGAAGAAGCCTTCCTGAAGCCGCACACTGCCCTCTCGGCGAGTCTTAGGCGGGTTAGAGGAGACCCTGGGAGCCTTTAATCCTCTCTCTCTCTCGCTTGCTTTCATCCTCAGCCACAGCTGGACGCCCCATTGATGTGGAACAGACCAAACACCAGGCCTCTCACTAAGCTGCTGCTGTGGGGCCTCTTCTCCTTTAGAGCCGAGCCGAGCCGATGGCCCATGTCCTGCTTACAGAGTGCCTATCCCACGTGCACCAGCAGCCCCTGCATGCACACGGCCAGCACCTCTGGCCCCAGCTCTGCCTGCCTCCCCCCGGCCATGCTCCTGCTCTCACTGCAGCTACTGTTTCTCTGAGCCATCTTCTACCACCTTGCTCTAAGACAAGCCCCCACCTTCTCCCTTATCCCAGCATCCTCCTTTCTCAGGATTATTTAGCATCAATTCCCCACTGCCGCACATCCCCGCAGAGCATCAGGCCTGGATGAGGGTAAAGGACTGGTTTGTGTTGCTCTGCTGAAGAAGCAACTGGTGGCGGTGCCCCCAGGAAGGGCCTGGCAGGCTCCATCATCTGGCGGATAAGGCCTTAGGACTGCAGCCTGCTTACAATTTTGGGAAGAAGGGTCTTTGCTCTCTCTTCAAGATCTCTCTTAAGGCACACTGCCAGGTGAGGCAAGGATATACAACTTCTCTAAAAACTTTGCAGCACGCACAAGATGGGTTCACATGGGCGCTTGCCTCCCAGAGCCGGGGGAAACAGGCGAGTGACAGACAAATTGCCATGCCTGGGCACCTGCCTGCAGCCAGCAGCATGACACCCCGGGCTTTGGTCACTGCACAGTCTGCTAGCTGAGCAGAGCATTTCGTTCATTGCAAAACATGGGGAATATCGCAAAGGCACTGCGAAGGCCAGCATTTCACCTTGGTGCCGAGCTCCAGGGAGCTATGTGGCTGCTTGCGAGCAGAGACAGCACTTGGCTGCCGAAGCCCCCCCCCGCCTGCAAAGCCCCCTCCAGCAGACCCCATCCCCTATCCCGGCACCCCATTCCTGATCTTCCTCTGCCCTCTAGCGGCCTCGCACCCCGAAACCAGCCCTTCCCTTCGCACACAGCTCCACGGCAGCACCCCGCCGCTGCCCGGGCTCTGCAACCGCATGGAGCATCCCCAACGCTGCTGCGACAGGGACCGCTCTGCCAGGTCTTCCTGTAGCATTCAGCAAGGGCCAACGTATGGGGCAGGTAAAGTAAAGCTGGGAAGTCTCTGTAAGGCCACTGACATTTTAGGAAGTGTCTAATCCAAAGAGGTTTCTGTGGATTAGACAGCAACGAGAGTAAATCAATGGGAAGCAAGAATTTCTATGGAAGGCAACAGAGAAGTGTATGGTTTCATCCCTGATTGGATGAAAAGCTCAAAAGAAACTTCAGGGGGCTTTGGGGACTCCAAGTAGATAGGCAGAAAAGAGGTGGATTGATGAGAGTTCAGAGAAGGGGGGAAAAAAGTGATCCAAGCTGTCAGAAACACAACCTAGGAGGGAAAATTAAAAGACTTGGGGATGGTTAGTCTGGAGTGGAAAGACTGAGGGGAGGCATGGCAGGCGTCACTGCATACAAAGCAAGAGAAAGGGAATAATCTGTTCTCCGAGTTCACAGTGGATACAAAAGGGAACGAGATGTTTAAATAGCAGGGAGAGGCAGATGTTAAGAGAAGCTTTCAAATAAGGATGGTGCAGCACTGGAATAACTCACTGGGAAAATGCTCCAACCTAAACTAGTTAACTAGAGATCTTTAGAAATTACATTGAGAGAGCTGATCCTACTGTGAGTCACTGGGCTAGATTAAGTGACCTCCTGAGATAACATTCATCTTATTTTCTATGATACTATAATTAAAAGCCACATTGATCCTCTGTCAGAGATGCAGCACAAGGACCAACTTCATTACTTCCTTGCTGCTCCTTAGTGACCAACATGCTAGGTCCTGGACAGACATCTCTTCATGACCTGTCCTGCCCCAAAGAGCTTCTCTCCTCAAAGACAGGACCTCCAGTGGACATGGCAAATGCAGATGCTATGGGAAAGGATGAGGCATTGCAGTGCAGCACGGTTCTTGGCTCAGTTTGTAGGCAACCAGTTGCAGAAACTGAACTAATTGCAGACTCTTGGGATTTGTTCGTAAGAGAACGAGTGCATTCCCCCTTCTTGTTATTGAGCATCAAGTGCCTGATGAGAGAGGGATTTGGGGACAAGACAATGCGAAGATATCTAGCACAAAATGATTAGCCAGAATGTACTGTTAATAAGCTGCTTATTCATATAATTGGAAATTATTTGCAGCAAGGGTGTCACTACGGTCTTTCTGCACTGATGGAGCGAGGCAGCTAGGTACTGGCCCAGGGGAGACCACTGTGAGCACATCTGCTGGCAGTGGGGAGGCAGAGGAATTTACTGCTGTTATAGTTCTTTACTGTCACTGCTTTGAAGGGCAGAGAAGGGCACAGGGATTTTAAGGGGAGGCAGAAGGGAATCTGCCAAGCCCCACTGACTAGGGGCATGTTTCCCAGTATGGCAAGCACAAGGTGTCTGGGGAGCAGAGTGGAAGGACAGTCCTTCTCCAGTATCCTTACAACAGCTAGAACGAGAGTCAGGCCAAGAAAGCACGGAATCAAGACAAATAAGACCTGCCACCACTTATGCTTCCCAAAGCAGCTGTTTGAGGTAGAGCCAGCTGTGGAAGAGCCATGAGTGAGTCCACCCCAGAGCTGCGACAGCCATCGCTAAAGGGAGCCTTTGGTTGTGGCTACAGCGCACACATTGTGACTTGATGATTGAACTGGAGGTTTCCACAGGTGGCTTTGCTCACCTTGAGGAGAGCTGGCTTTGTTCTGATTTCCAGGAGGCAGAGTTCCTCAGGGAGGCCAAGGGAAAGGATGGGAAAAGCTACAGAAGCCATTCCCCATTCCCTCTGTTAGCTCTGCCCAGCAGGTGCATAAATACAGGGATGTGGCATTGCACCACCCCACGCCTTTCTCCTTCCCTCACCTCCACTGTGGTTGAACCCAGGCCTGCAAAGCACCCAGGTTCAGAATCAGACACATGGAAGTTTATGTGCCTCTGAAAACTGAAACATTTATCCATTTTTCTGAGGCCAAGAGCTGGCTGATTTTAATGATGTTGCTAGTGGGTGCGTCAAGGGGTCTTTCAGGGACAGCATTGAAAGTGTAGCAAGATGGTGAAGTGTGGCTTCTGTTGATGCAATGGGGAGAAGAAAACAGCTTCTCCTTGAATTCTGCCTAATGCATCTGTGTCTTCCGAACTGGCCAAGCTCTGTTGATACTGACAATTCAATTACTGAGGTATGAATTTGGTTGTAAAACAGCAGTGAAGGATTTCTGTGCCAAGCCAAGTGGTAAGCCACTAAGCTCAGCCACTTCCTCCAGCAGTACCAGCGTGGGATAGGAGGGTACAGAGAGAAGACATCTGCTAATCTTCTGATTTGCCTTCAGTGTTGCCCTTTCTCTTGGCTCCAAGACAGGCATGGAGCCGAGATTCCTCCTGCTTCTGCTCTTCTGTTTTTCAGGTGAGAGAAGGGGTGAGGCAGTACGAGAGGCAAGGGGAGCTCAGGTACAGTGTTTCTCTTGCATTTGTCTAAGGTCTTGTACAACATATGATATTTCAGCATTAGGAAAGGAATTTTTCTGAAAGTTTCTACCACCAAAGCAAGTTTCTTTTCAAGATGGAGAAATTCTCTGCACTGCTATGAAAGGAGATGGGCCAGCTCTGGTTCCTGTTACCTGGAGATTCTGGTTTCTCCAGGACCATAAGCCAAGTCACTGTGGGCACAGTTTCCTCTTCAAAAACAGGTATAAGCTGTCATGCAAACAACATGTCCCCTGGCACTGCCTGGCCCAGGCTCCACCACTCCCTGAAAGGACCACTGGCTCAAGGGACAACTGTCCTGGCAGTGATTCCTTCTCTGCATGTACAATATTTAATAGAAATCACAGCTACTTAAGGACAGGCTAAATCTGCGTGAATCAAGATAGGAAGGCCTTAAAGCATTTGTTTCATGGCTGTTAAATGCCTCTTAGGAGTTGATTATTAAGATGCAGAATCCCGGGTGCTGAGGCACACCAGGCTAAGTGCATAGAGCGCTGCACCTTTGATGCAGCGCAAAAAGCAACTCTGAAGGGAAGGATCCCTCTGAAAGCCTCTGTCAAGGAAAAGGAGAGTCTTTGGGAGGCAGCAAGAAAGCAAATGTACATAAAAGAGTTGCTAATTATTTTGGAACTGGGATCATCCAAATGACAGCACTGTAATCCTATTTCAGCAGCCCCCAGGAATGACTAGCACAGATTTACTATCACAGACGACTGACATAGTTTTCTGTTTCTTTACCAAACCTTTTATATCCTCAGTCTTTTGAAGCCTCCTCAGAGCCAGCTCAGGCCTGTTAACTATTCCATAGAGGGAATATAATTCCATATATATTTGTGCTCACTGTATCTCTAGACACAAAGCTTGAATAGGTATGAAAAGATCCATCCCTGAGCACAGTAGTAAGCTGTAACCAAAGCTGGAGAATCTCCTCATCTTTTGACGACCAGTTTCCTGCCTGATCCCTCCCTTTCTCTCAAATACACACACTGAACCCACCAGCCATCACAAGAACTTGTGCAGAACTACAGTGGAGCTGGCACCAAGCCACACAGCATGATTTCTTCATTTTTGAAGGGACTGTTTCTGACTCATGCTCAAGCAGGACAGCCTAAAACCAAGGAATCCCCCAACATTACAACACAAAGAACGGTTTCTACACCAGATCTTCACAGAAAGTCAGCAATCTTTGGTTGAGGAAAACTATACTTTAGTGCAAATTTGTGATTTTTAACCCAAAAATATATTTGCTTTCTGTGAAAGATCAGATTATTTACTTAAAGTCAATCTGTGTTATCCTTTACAATACAGTAAAAGATGAACTTGGAATAAGGAAAAGACCCCATTTTCCTACTAGCAATGCAGAGGGATGCTGAGATACAACAGTCCTTCTCTTCTCTTTCAGTGGAGAGAGCTAAATACTGGAAACTTTGAAAATATTGCTAGGAGTCTGTCCTCCCTATATGGCACGTCACAGCCTCTTGAACAGGGAAACATTCGTAAGCCAGCACTGAAACAACAGCATTCCTTCTGCCAGCCTGGTGCTTCATCCTCTCGCACAACTCGCGACGCTGCACAGGGCACGGACAGACCCGCGCCACAAGAAACACTGCGGAACTGGCTTCTGCAAATGCTCTGCTGCCCACTCTCTTACAGTCCTTTTCCCTACCCTTGTTCTGTCTTATTTACCACAAGGTTTGTACTGATGAAGAGGCAGACAGCACAAAAATAATGGCTATAAAAACTATGCATATGACAAATAACCATGAAACCTGAGGGAAACATTTGAACGTTCCCCAGACTCCCCTTCTCCCTAACCTTTTGTTACCTTATTGCTAGATCACACACTCCTCAGACCAGGAAGTCAAACAAAATGCTATTAAAATTTGTTTCAGTAGTCTCCTTTTTCTCCATTTCTGTGAAAAAAGGACAAGTTATTTTAAGGCTTACCTCAATTTTGTGTTCTTTCAAATATTTTTGCAAGAGGCTTTTTTTTTTTTCTTTCCCCAAAACCACAACCTGAGATAAGGCAGCCTAAGAATTTACTCAGCAACTCACAGCTCACTAGATTCTTCCACAAAGTCTGAAAAAGGAATAACTTCCTCTACCAGAGGTTTTATACTATCTCATTTGCTAATGGGCTGAGGCTGCTCAGCTGTGAACACTGATGAGTTTCTCCCAGCTCTGCTGTGATGGTGGTAACAGGAAAGGAGAGATGGAGCGCTTATATCTTAAAATTGCTACTATACCTAAATCCAGCAGCTTCTTCCCATCCGAACTTGGGACACTGTGGGAAAATAAGTTGTTACGGGAAAGGCAGAGAGAGCAGGCGGTGTGTGAGGCACACAGGACTGAGGTCCCAGCTGAAGCCAGGGTCTGGATTTCACCTGTGAAGACTTTATCCCATAGTGGGTATGTCGTTCATGGAAGATGTGTCATCATGGCTCTTAGCTGGGATTTATACTGTGGTTCTTATGTTCTGCAGTGGTCCAATACCACTCTGCTATGGAGCTGAAGAGTCTCTCTGTTGTATGTCCCTATAACGTCCAGAACTACAACGCTACAAGGAAAGCCTGGTGCTGAATGAAAGATAAAGATAAATGGGGTATCTTGGTCAGCACCGATTACCACCTATCAGCATATTAAAACAAGGCTTATTCTGAGAGAAGCACTATTCTTGATGACACCCAGAAGGGGACAATCACTGTCACAACACAGAAGCTGCAAGTTGAAGACTCAGGAGTGTACTGGTTGTGCACACTGTATGTGCTCTCATTTTTCCCAAATAAGTAAGATTAAGCTGTCTGTTTCCCAGAGTGAGTATTTCTTTTTAAGGAAAATGTGGCGCATTTTATAGATTTCTGCCTCACTTTCTCTGCTTACCTTTTCAGTGTTCTGTATTACCTTCTCCCAGGTTACTGAGGAATAGCCATAGTAGGTCAGACCAAAGGTCTCCAACACTGGCTGAAGCAGATAATTAGGAAGGAGTATAAAAACAGAGAAGAACATAGAAACAGCTCTCCAGAATACTCTCCCAGCCTCCAGTGATTTTCTGGAGAGGTTATTTTTGTGACAATAGCAATGGCTAAATTCTTTTTCCTCTTTAATTCATCTACTCATTCTGCTGACACATAAAAACTTTTGGTATATGAACATCCCGTGGCAGTGAACTCCACACTCGATGCATGTGTGGAGAATTTCCTTTCTTCCTTGTCTCCTAACTAGTGACTTTCTTCTTATAACAGACAGTGAATTATTGCTCCCGTTCTCTCTCCCCACTATTCCTGATTTTACAGCCTTTTGTAGTATCACCGCTGTCATTTCCTTTCCAGGCATAAAGTTGTTTTAGTAATTTCTTGTACATAAGGTGCCTCAGAGCTTTCTCTGTCTTGGCTGTTTTTCTCTGATCACCAACTCAGCTGACGAATTCAGAGCAAAGACTCCTGATGGTTCTGTTACAACAAGCTTTGCTTTGTTTGGGGACGTGATTATATTATTCTAAAATTTCTTCAGAAGGACAGAATATTTTGGATATTTATTTTTTATTCAGCATCCCAGTTCAATTCGACCCTCCTGTAGCTAAAATGCTTGTGAACTGGATTACAATATTGTGCTTATTCTAATTGCAAGAAACTGATGTAATTGGACGTTTTGTCTGGACCTTACTAACCAGTTTGACCTTTTCCAGAAACCGAAGCATATGTAGCTCGGGAGATGCAGTCTCTCTACTGAGTGCCCATACAACATGCAAGATTACACAAGGCTGTGTGGAAAGCCTGGTGCAAAAAGACAATCGAGTGTGCTGTCTTGGTCAGTACAGAAAAGACAAGCAGTCGGAATGAGAATAACACTCAGAAAGGAAGATGCGCCATAAATTATGACACCCAGAGAGGAGTTCTCAGCATCACCATAGAGAAGCTCACAGTACAAGACACCGGGGAGTACTGGTGTGCTCTTAATGATGACTCTTACTTCTTCCAAATAAAGGAAGTTAAGCTGGCTGTTTTCATAGGTGAGTGTCTCTTTTTTTTAAATTGGAGAAACTCCTTTCTCCTCATTTTTCTTGCAGAAGAACTCACTTCCCAGGCTTGCTGCCCCACCTGCTCCACCCACTCTCTGCTCTCTGTACTTCACAGTTCATTTTACCTACTAGTCTGCTCCTGACTCCCCAGTTCCTGAATCATACTGGGGAACCAAAAGGACATGCAGAGCCAGGAAGCTGTGTTTAGCTGTCCATTTTCACAGTGAGCCAAGAGTCAGTTGTGCCAGGAGCTGCTTTGAATGGATTATTTCAGTATTTATTTGCATTGTTTCCCCTGTACTTAAAATCACTTCAGTTGTGCCTGTGGAGACATTACTGTGTAATGTGCAAAACCCAAATGGTTCTGGTTTGGTTTCTCCAGCTGGGCACTCTGGGGGTAGGCACCCCGAGGCACCACGACAGAGCACGGAGCACAAGCGGACTGGCTGGGGTGGTGGACATCTGGGATCCCCAACAGCACAGCCCGTGGGAGGGTCCATGCAGACACAGCCCTGGATGCATCGCCACCCTGGCTTTGAGGAGACTTTCCAGCAAGGGACTGGGCAGAGGGCATCTTGGGAGCCCAGAGAGAAGGGCTAGGCCAAGGCAAAGGTCCTGCTCCATCTCCATGGCTCGGAACAGCCAAAGGAGTGCCCTGCTGCCACTGGTGTGAGGGCAGAGTGTGACAACGGCCAGGCGAGAGCAGCAAAGGGCCTTTGCCATCAGGACAGTCTGAGCTCTGTGCTCAGCCACTTCCCCAAATGCACCCTGAAATTATCTTGTGGCCAAACGTGGTGAAAGATTTCCGTGAGAAAGCAAGACCTCAGGCACTTCCTCCAGCAGTGTCACTGTGGTGCGGGAGGGCTCACAAGGCAAACACTTTTGAACGGGACACGTTGAGCAGCCCCCAGCAATGTCCCTTCCCTAGGCTTGAGGATGGCCATGGAGCTAAGAGTCCTCCTCCTGCTGCCGCTCTGCTTCCCAGGTAAGAGAAAGGCTGGGCATGCCTCAGGCTTCCCAGGCACCCAGGGGGAGTGGGACAGCCTTCCCCACCTCCCGCTGCCTGCGGAGCTCCACAGTTGGGGGGAATCCAACACCGGCCGGACTCTGAGCTGAGCAACTCACGGCAAGGATGGGGAGGGAAAGGGGCAGCCCCAGTTCCCACCATCGCTCCATTTAGGCTTGAAGGTCCAACACCTCTAGTGCCCACATGTCTGTGGGTTTTAATTCAAAGATACTGGGTTTTAAATCACAGTTGCAGTCCCAGCTCAAATCTCAACACTTCCCACCGGACATCAACCTTCCCATTTCCAAGCAGGCGCATTTACCAGGGGGAATGGATCTCGGTTTTTGGAGTTCCTCCAGCCACAAGTGCCCATGCAGAGTTTCCCCATGTCCATCGGGAGGCTGTGAGCAGCCCTGCATCAGCTCCCCTCTCCCTCACCACATCTGATATTTACAGGTCTCCAAGCCCAAACACCTGCTGCCAAGGAGAGACGATTGGAAGGAAGCACTCTGTATATCTGGTGTCCTTACACAGCACAGACTAACTCCCAGCAGCGGAAAGCCTGGTGCCGCATGAGAGAGAACAGATGTGAGCCCTTAGTGGAGACGACCAACCCATCACAATACCCATACAAAACCCATGCCACAAACGGGAAAGTTACAATAGAGGACAACCCCACGCATAGGACCGTGTCAATCACCATGGCTAACCTCCAGGTAGAGGACTCAGGCACATACTGCTGTGCTTCCCGTTTCTACAGTAACAGGTATCTTCCACTAAAGACTATCTCACTGAATGTTTTCAAGGGTGAGTACCTTTTTCCCCACATAAATGCAAGTCTTGTCAGAAAGCAACATCATTCCTTCCCTCGCTCCGTGCCCCCTCTCCCACACAGCTGAGCAGCTGCCCCCAACCCCCCCA